ACCTGTTGGAAGCAGCACTTCAAACTGCTGACAAGGCTGTGTCTGTGCTCTACATACATCTCCAACCTGCCTCTTGCATCTCCCTGTGCTCTTCTTTCCACCCTCCCTGTGTAGTAGCTATGCTTGGTGCCAGAGCTGACAGAACGGTGCTGGGCCAACGTGGCTTCTTTGTGACTGTGGTGAGAGATACCAGCTGCAGACCTTGGGATGCAGGCATGCCACAGCTCTTCCCCAGCCCCCTTTGTCACAGTGTGGTCTGCGATTTGGTAGCTGGTGGAGAGTGCAGTGTGAGGAGCTACTGTTCAGCAGCATGAGAGTCTGCAGGCTCACAGTTTTCAGCTGTGAGGTTGGGCTTCTGCATGCAGGTGCTAGAAGCAACTGCTAGCCCCTTCCTGGAGACTGTCCCTGCTGTGCTGCTGTCTGCTTCTTCCTTGTCTTTGCTGGGTAATGGGTCTGGAGCCAGGTAACTCATACTTCCAGTTTGAACTCATTCTGCAGATAGCAAACTGAGCAATGAGGTCCATGGCCAGGACTGTGGGGGTTAGGACTGAGCTCCTGCCCCTGATCAGTGACCTTCCTGCTGCAGCCTCCATTTCCTCATCATTTGGGGTGTGGGTATGCCGTGGAAAACCAGGAGGCAGCCCAAGCTGTAGGGAGCTCCTGTCTTGTGCTTGGCATTCATTCTGTGGCTCTGCCTTCCTGAGGGTGGCACAAGCAGTGCCTTACTCCTCAGGAGCTTTCATAGCATCCTTGTGGCCATTCCAAACAGAGTAGGCCAGGTGCTTGTGCAGGCAGTTTATGCAACTGCCAGGAGGTGCTAAGGTGCTAAAGCAGTGCATCTAGGCCTGAGTTAGCTCAGGCAGCAAGCTGGGATGGAGGAGGGAGAGAGGGCTCTCCTGCTCCGTTGCATCCTTTGTAGCTGATGGAGCTCTGCATTTTCTGCTGGTTATGAGGGCTTGTCTCAGAGGAACAGTACTGCTGTGGCAGTCCTTCCAATAGAGCTGCAGGCACAGGGAGCACTGCATGAGCTCCCAGGGCACTCGCCTGGACTCTGTCTGGGATCACCCCTCTCTGAGCTCCTGTGGTACCACTGACCTGGCTCCAGGTCTGCAGCTGTGTTGGGCAATAGTACAGTTTGGGGGTATAGGATTGTGATATATTTAGCAGTGCTATCTTCTGTGTGCTGTTGCCTGCTTGTGTCTTCCCCCTCCCCCTGCCTGCTTTCCCCTGCATCAGCCTGCATTTGTAAAATGAAATAAATATTGACACGGACGGGATGCTATTCAATTTGTCCTGATCACTGGGCTGCAGTGAGTTCTGACAGAGCACAGTGTAAAACATAAGCTCAGGATGTAATTTCTACTGTCAACATGATGTACAGTATGGCTGTGCCAAATACACACCGACAAACTGCAGAAGCTCTTGTGGGGAGGGGGCAAGTTGTGCTGATAATTGGGAGGCAGGGATGACAGAGAAGCAGGAGAGTGGGCATCACCCTGGGCCTGGGTAGTGTGGGTCTGACGTTTTGCTGCATGCATGAAAACCTGTCTGGCACAGCAAGTGCCAACCCTGACTTCCTGGAAAACCTGTCTGGCACAGCAAGTGCCCATCCATGTGCCCTGCCATATGGATGCACGTGTGCTGTGCAGCTGCACACTGCTGCCTGCTTGGGATGCTGTGCTGCAGGCTGGTTCTGGCTGCAACAGCAGCGGCTCCCACTAGTTATTTATGGCTCCGCTGCTCACATGTGGCAGAGAGAAGTGGCACTTCCAGCTATTGGTGAAAGGTCTTCAGTAACACTGGGAAGTAAATGTGCTTGTCTTGGTTCCTGCGCGTGGGACCTTCTGTGGTGCTTTGCAGCCCTGGGGTACTTTGAATCCTGCTGCAGCATGTACAGACTGCTGCAAGGGCAAAAGCAGGACTTGAGGCTCTTGGGTCCACTGCCTCTGGAAGAAGTCTGTGATGTGACAGCCAGCAAGAAAGGTGCGCACACTGAGAAATGACATTGACCCTAGCTGTGGCCTTAAGCTGTGACTGAAGAGAAACAGGCTGAGAATTTATGGGTGGAGAAGAATTAATTTTGTGGCAATGAGCCTTGCCACAGATGTCTTTGCATCAGTGTGTCTAGGTGGCTCTGGCTGTGAAGGGCTGGAGCTTGCAACAGGTTGTATAGATGGGCTTTGCAGTCTAGGACCTGAGTATTTGGAGGTGCATTGGGTTACACCATCTCCATTGCTGCCCGTAGGAAGAGCATGCAAACAACTCGCCTTATGCAGCTCAACTTTAGCCATGTGAAATGGACACCAGCAAGCCACATTGGTTCGGACATAGCAATAAGATGAGATATCTGTTAAATGTGAAAAGCACCATAATGGCTGAGACTCTAAACACAAGGTTGTGGTTCCTACAGCAACGGCAGCCCAGCCCATGTGTGCTCAGCAGGACTCCTCTCCGTGGCAGTAGCTGCTCTGTGGAGTCTCAGATGCAACAGGGCTGAGCAAGTTGCCTTGGGAACTGTGGCCCAGCTTGTCTGCCAGCTGGGGAGCAGCTCTGCTGGAGCTGTGCTCACCCACTGTGTCATCTTCTGCCCTTGCTTCCTCTTCTCTGCCTTGCTTTAATGTGTGCATTTAAATTGTTGCTTTTACTGGTTTATTGATACTGTCAAGGGTTTAGCTACTTCCATTTTTATGCTGTAACTGGCAAGGCTGAAAACAAAAGGTGCAGTGCCATCCCTGCATGCGTACAGGTCTGGTTTCAGTATGTGGCTTGGGTAGTCGGGTCATAGAGGAAATAGTCAGTTTGCAGCTGCCACTCTGGTGTGAAATGGTGTGAGGGGAATGAGGATGGCTCCTACTGCCCTCCCAGAGCCAATGATGATGTTTGCCAGCTGTGTGCCCAGAGCACTGCATGCTGGAGACAGCAGGGGCAATGTGCTGCCTTCCTGCCAGTTTGGTCAGGGCCCTTGGATGCTGACCTTACTTGTAGTGCCTGGACTTGCACCACTGGGCTGGCTTTCAGCCTTCCTACATGTTCGGAGGTCTTCAGTGGTTGCAGAACTGCTCTCTGGCAGTGGCGTTGCTGCCTTGTCAGGCTTCTGGCAGGGCTTTATAAACCAGGGTGGAGTAGCCTGGAGAGCAAGGAGAAGGTGCCAGGGAGGGCAGATTGGGAGGCTTCAGCAGCTGGTGATTGCTTCTCCGCAAGGCTCTGCTTATGTAGTAGTCCTTGAGAACATGTGCAAATGGACTACTTGTTAAGGTCTCTTTCTGGCAGTAGCATTTACCAGGTACAACCTATTTGTGCTTGGACTTTGGATACATCTGGAGGCATTGCCTGCAAAAGGGCTGTAGCATGGCAAAGACAGAGATGCTGTGTAGGGTGTTCTTCCTACAACTGTTTGTGCTGGGTGCTGGCCTGAAGCTCTGACACAGCTTGTGCTATTCAGTTTATTGATGTCTCTTGCTGTCTGGGAAACTTACTCCAAAATAGCCACCAATTTCCCAGATGTGAGAAAGTGGAGAGATGCTGTTTGTGGCAGTTACGTGCTCTATTTTGTTATAGGTATCTTCTGTATATCCATATAGGTGTCATAAAACGTGTGTATGTGTCCTGTTATTGTCATTGTGAGTGTCTTGCTCTGGAGCCTGCTGCAGGTGGGGTAGCCTCAGCTTCATTGCTCCAGAGCAGGGATCTTTATATCAGTGCTTGATCGGTGAAGGCTGCAGTTACTTTGCCTTGTGAGACTTCTAACAGTGGGAAGGAATGACTCAGTCTGTCAGCTGTCTACAGGTCCTCTTGCTCCCCTGGTTATAGTCTCTGATGTTAAATATTTTGATGATAGGGGTTCTCACCAGATTGGCAAGGGTAGCTGGCCCTTCAGGAGCAGTGGCAGGAATGGCTTCTGCCTGGGGAGGCCTGACTGCAAGAGGGAGGTGCGGTCACACTAGGGGAATGGCAAGTGTGAGGAAGAGCTAGGGAACTACTTGTGAGCTGCCTCTGCTCTGAACTGCTGTGGCTGTTTAGAATCATGCAGGGGGCTGTGCAGAGCACAGTCCAGTTCCCTGTCTATGGGGAGTATATGGATATCTAGTCCAGGATTGCTCTCCTTTCCATTCATCCTCTTTCCCCCTCCTATTTAGAGTTACAGATAACAGGAGATTAATTCTACAAACTGGTGAAGATGTACATGTTTCATGAGTAGTTCTGGCTGTGGCTGGGGTTGCAGAGCTCTGGTGGAAGCTTGGGGTGTTGGTGTGGGGAGAGATGGATGCTGCATACCTGTCCCCATCTCCTGAGCAGGCCTCTTCTCCTCAGGTGTTCACTGAAGGCAGTCTACCCTTGGCCACAGATCTCATGTCTTTATCCTTAGTGCCTTGCAGGTGGCTGGAAGCTTACTCCAGAGCCCTTGTTAAACTGTTAGCTTTAAAGTCAGCCAAGTGGTGAGTCCTTGAACAGATGCTTTTCTCCCAGCCCATGGCTGCAGAAGTGAGATGGCAGGATAACTTCTGCTGGAAAGACTAGCAGCTGTGGCTGGACAGCCAGCACCTCTGTCAGGGGCTGGCATCCTGCAGTGGGAGCCGTGTCTGTGCATGCAGGACTGGCGGGGTCTGGCCCTGTGCAGGCAGCAGCAGCTGTGCAATGCTCGGGGAGCTCCCTACACATCTCTCACCAGCATGAGCAGCGATGACCCCCCCCCCCCCCAGCCAGCAGCAAACCTCATTCCCCTCAGCAACCAGGGCAGTGTGGTGAGGAGGCACCCTCAACAGTGAGGCTCCTTGGTCGGGGAGTTCCTGATGGAGCAATTGTCCATAGCAATGAGAGCTCTGCAGCTTGCTGCCCTCCCTCCTGGGGTACCTGCTCTAGCAGGACCTGCTGGGCTCTGCTGTGGGGGTGCCTGGGGCAGAGCAGGGTGGGAGATACTGACCAAGGCTGCAGGGGCAGCACAGGGGGGCATAGAGCCCTGCTCTCACACCAGCACTAATTAATACCTTGGCTTCTTCCAGGCTCCTGGGGATGCTGCCGGCTGCCCTGCACCTCCCTGCATGAGCGAGTGAGGATGGAAGTGACTGGCATCAGCTGGGCAAAGGACCCTTCACCAGGTGCTGGGATGTCATCCCCCTGAAGATGGGAGTTACAAATGGGCTTGTGAACTGCACACGTGGCACAGGCGTCTGTGCTGCCAGACCCCTCGCACAATAGTCCAGGGCCACTGCAGGACAGGCAGATGTTGGCCACAGCAGCTCATGCTGTTAACTCCTCTGTGAAACCGTACACGGAAAAGCTTCCCTTCTCTTCCTGTGGATGACGGCTGTGGGTGCCTGAGCCCCGCACACTGCTGTGGAGCTCCCTGCCTGCTGTCAGGGTGGGCAGCAGGCTGTGTGTGACCCCGCTCCCCAGCGAGACTGGCAGTAGCCGACCACAGAGCCATGTAGCTTTGTCCCCAGAGACAAATGCCAGCTGCCAGACTCCTCTGGAGACCTAGGAGCAGCCTGCAAGGCACCAGCACTGACTGCTCCCGTGCTGGCAGTGAGCAGTCCGGGACGCCTGTTGTCACAGATGTGATTCCAGCCTGCTGGGACAGGAGTGCTCCAGCTGCAGGATGTGACGTGCAGCAGGGATGGGGATGCTCTCCATTGACTGGTGAGCCCCATGTTGCTAGTGTGGACTTTCTTCTTCCTCTTCGCTAAAGGATGTTAATTGCCTCTCCAGAAGCTACTGCTCATGCAGCCTCCTAGAGTGCAATGGCGAAGGGTCTGCAGGGCTTCTCGTGGACCATGCTGCTGCTGTTCTGCGCCATCCAGGAGCTGGGAGCCTGGGCCATGCACGCCGCAGTGGAGAGCCCCAGCCTAGGGCAACCGGGGGACCCTGCGCTGCTGGCCAGTGGGCGAGTGAAGCGTGGCTGGGTCTGGAATCAATTCTTTGTGGTGGAGGAGTACACTGGCACGGAGCCGCTGTATGTGGGGAAGGTAAGGTAACCCTACGTCTCCATGGGGCTGACCATGCCAGTGGCTTGCTGGCAGCACGGTCAAGGCTGGCGGGGAGAGGGTCTGCACAAAGGCTGCTCATGGAGCCCTGGTTGGAGAAGTACTCTATGTACTGGGATGGCAGGAGCCTAGTCCCAGCCAGGGGGGTGGTGAGGTTAATGTGCTCCCAGACTGTAGGGCAGGAACACACCAAAATTCACATCTGTGTTCTTCCAGTTGTGTGCTGGGTTTCTGTGTTGTTTGGGGTGGGTGCAAGAAGGGGTGCAGCTCTAGGTGGTGTTGGGGCAGTGGGGAGGGCTCAGCCCCATCTCTGTGGGTGGACCTGCTAGGCTGGAGCAAAAGTGCAGACGGCTGGACTGGCAGGGTGGGCATCTGGTGGTGCTGGTCCCTGCTATGTCTTGGGAGCCAAAGTGCTACCATAGCACGGAGGGCCTTCCTGCCCCAGCAGTTGTTGCCATCAGTGCAACCCTGACTTCCTGAAAACGATCAATCCCTGGCCCTGTAGCCCTTTCAACAGGGGGATAATGTGCTAAGTTTTGGTTTGTGGCCATTCCCTATGGCCTCCCTCCTGGTCCTGGAAGGGCTGTGCTCAGTTGGACCTGCAGGCTACAGCATGTGTTTCCTAGCTAATTATCTCTACAGATGGGCTGCCAGAGGAGATGTCCCACTCTAGCTGTGGCACAAAAATCCTGTTCTTGTTTATATCCAGAGTGAGGTTGTGGCAGATTTCTCGATCTCAGATTGGCCTGCACAGCATAGTGTGGAAGGTATTTGGTGTGGGTGTGCAGTGCTTGGAGGGACCCTGAAGGCCAGCTCTGGTGACAGAGCTTTCCTGGGGCTTTATGCCCATCAGGCCTGTGCTGTGGGTGCTCCTGGGTGCTGGCTGGGAGCTGCACTGTGTTGTTACATGGCTCCCAGGGCCAGATCCTTGCTGGGCTTTCCAAAGGCTGTGGCACTGATGAACTTCCAGGGAGAGGCACTGGGAAGTTTTGGGCTTGTTGTAGCCAGTGAATCTTGTTCTGCTGTGAGAAGGTGTGATGGTGGTCACTGGAGCACGCTGGTCTCCCCGGGCTGGAAAAGCCATGCTGTCTTTCTGGCAGCCTCCCTTCTCTGCAAGGGGATGGCTACGTGTGCTATCCTGACTTGTTGCGTGCCCTGTGGAGAGAGGAGTGCTGGCAAACCTGGAGCTGCTGGCAGAAAGCAGTGCCTTGCTGGGCAGGACTGGGTCTGTCCTTGGGAACTTGCTAATTCCCTGATGTGTGACCTCCTGGGGTGTGGGAAGGCTGGACATGGAATCCTGCTCCTTCCACTCCTGGTGTCCTGAGGCTAAAAGAGCATTTCACCTTGGGTTTGCTGGGCTTTGTCCTGTTCTGGGAGCTGTGGAAAAGCTGCCCTGTGGCTCCCACATGTCAGGAGGGTGTGTTATTTGTATACTGATGAAGGCAGTGCTAGCTGCTGGGCCAGTTAGAGGAGTGTGTGGCAAGCCAGTTAGAGCAGCCCCTGTGGGGCATGGGCTCTCAAAGGAAAATGCCCAAGAACTCAGGCACCAGGGCTTTCTGATGGCCTCAGCTGTCTGGTCATGAGTCTGGAGGAGGCTTGAAAATGGGCTTCTTGGCTAGGGGCCAGCTGGGATTTCAGCGGTGATTTGTGTCCATTTCAGCAGACACTCGAAAGCCGCGCTCCTCCACCACGAGGCTCGGTGCAGTTACAGCTAATTCACAGCTCCCCTGGGAAGCGACTTGAAGCATCAGGCCCTGTCAAACTCCAGAGGTAGCCTAGCAACCACCTCATCTCCAAAACGAACCCAGGAACCTACAACTAACCCATTTTACAGCCCCTTTCCACATCATTCACTGCATCACCCACCCTGCTCAGAATAAACTGCCAGCCTGCCCTGAAAACCATTCCCTGTGATTATTGCTCCTGAGGGCTGAAAACTGCCTGAGGCCAGGCTTTCCCCTCGGGCTGGCTGGGGGAAGCTGGGGTTCCTGCCTGGGGCGGTCGGGGCAGGGGTGTCCCCTGGTTTCCCAGGGCAGTGTGCCAGCCCTCCTGGCACAGCCTCTGGGTTTGGGAACCTTCCTGCATGGGGGACGCGGGGCTCCCTGTGGTAGAGCTGGGGCTTGCCCTCTGTGGGTGGCTCTTGCACACCTACGTGTGCTTTTCGAAGGTCCGATACCATTTCCATAAAATCTGGGTTCTCTAGCTAATCCTTCTTCTGAACTGTAATTTCCCCTGAGGCTGCTGTCAGTTTGATGTGGATTTCTTTGGGTTTTTTAAATAGAATTATGGGGTCAGCACTAGTTACAAACTTCTGCATGTGGACAGATCTATTTTAGATAGAGGAGAGGATTAAAGGGAGAAAAGCAGATTTAATTAAGTTGCTAATATTTAAAGAAAATTGATGAACTTGGGCTTTATGAGTTGAAGCAAACAGAGTGTGCCTTTATTACGGGCTAGTTTTTATTTGATTTTCTTTCTTTTCCAGCCCTAGAGTAATTTTTTTATTTGTGTATCTGTGCTTTCTGTTTAATAAGGAATGTGCACCTTTGTTCACATTTAATTTTTATTTAATTATTAGTAACTAATGGCTTTGTAAAATTTGTGGTTGTCCTTTTAGGAAAGGGAAGCTATTTTCCTGTTTAACACACTGAGCAGATCAGCCTTTTGTCCACCTTCTGGAACAGCCCTGGCTGCTGTGGATGCTCTTGTCCTTGGCCGGAGGATCTGAGCCGCAGGCGGGGGATCCCCTCTGTTCCTGGGGTGCAGCGCCGCGGGTGGGAGCTCGGGGGAAGGTGCAGGGGGGCCCAGGGCCAGCGCGGCTCTGTGCCGTGCCAGGGCTGCCCGCCTTCCCTCGCCTGCCGCGCTGGGTGGTGACGGGGTCCCCAAGCCCGCGGGGAAGCGTGGTGCTCCCTGCGCCTGCCCGCTGTAAGGGCGAGGCTGGGCAGGAGAGACCAGCCCGGGGACGTGGCCTGGGCCTGTGGCGTCTCCCATCAGACGCCTGTAGTCTGTTATCTGGCCCTCCCCCATTAGTTGTTGTTTAGCCAAGCGGCACAGATTTAGCTCTTTTAATCTTCCTTTGTAAATCAATCTCTACAGCCCCTTGAGCCCAGGCTCCATTTTTCTTCCTAGCGTTCCAGTTTGCAGGGATGCTGGTGTCTGCTCTGAGCAGTCAGCAATAAGCCAACATGTAAAGAGGATGTGCTGAGAGCTCAGTGTGGCTCTGGGAAGAGGTGCTGGGTGGTTTATCTCTGGACTAATAATTAATCATGAGCCTGGTGTTCAGTAGAAAAATGCAGGTTTCTGTTACCTGTGCTGTACAGACCAGGTGCACCTTTTTTGTTCTGAGAAGCTTGATCTCTAGCAAAGTAGTAGTGAACACTGGGGAGAGGATTACGAAGTGGAGGGGGGGCAGCAGTCAGTGGGGAGGGCTGGGGCAGGATTGCCAGGGCAGAATGCTCCTGCAGACCATCCCTGAGACGCTGCCCTGGCAGGTCTGTGGCCAAGCCACCACAATGATCCCAGAGCACTGCTAGGCTCACAGCCCCGTTTGCTAGCTGAGTGAAGGTCTCCTTCCCAAGCAAGTCTTGGGAGACGTTTCAACATGGGCAGTAATATGTGAATGTTGTGTAAAATGCATTGAATTGTCTAATGCGTGGGCCCCTCACTCATGAAATAAATATATAAACTGTATCTAACAAGACAAATATAATGAAGGTGTCATAAAAAAGAGGCAGCTCTGGTATAAATTCTTGCTGGTAGAGCTGTATGTCTGAAAGGTGGATTATAGAACTGCAGTTTGGAAGATTGAATGGCCCATAAACATTTTCATATTTCATTAGCAGATTAATGGACGGCTTTTTTCTTTTTTTGGGATACACACACACACACACACACACACACACACACACACTTTGCTGATTCTAAGCAGAAATTGTAGGAAGCAAATGAAAGCAGCTGATGAAACCTTTCCGGGGGCCTGTCCTGTTATGGATTGTCCCAATTAATGCCCATGCTGCGCTCTGTCAAGATGCATTCTGCCTGTCCAGTTACTGTTAATAGATTTCTCATAAGTGGCTGGATTGTAAAAACCTCATAACTCAGTTTAATGCCACCAATAAAATTATCTCTGGACGTCTGGCCTGGATTCCAGTCAGCTCCTGGTCTGTTGGGAGCTGCTGTTTACCCTTTCTTTTCCTAATTTCAAATGTTGTCTTAATTAGAAAATGAAGTGGAGTTTGGTGACAAAAGCATTTTGACAGGGTCTGGTTTTCATCCTCAGTGTGGGCCTGATTTGCCACATTCTCCTGCAGGCTTTGCTCAGGTGGGGGCTCTGGGTGTGATGATGTGATGGGTGGACCCCTCCATTAACCTGCCACCCAAACCCAATACAGGTGTGCAGCGGGTGCACGAGCTCTCAGGCAGGGAGACTCGTCAGCACCAACTGCCCAGAAAACAGAGTGGCTGGGGCAGAGCAGGCAGGTGAGAACGGGCTTTGGGTCGACTGGGACAGATGCTGGCGGTGAGGTGCCTTTATACCCGGGTCTGCTGTGCAGCTTGGGAAGGGTGATCCCACACCACCTGGGTCCTTGCCCACAAGGAAGCCTCTTTTTGGAGTGATGTTGAGATGTCCTTCCCTTTTCCATCATCTCCTAACCTCACAGTGGTGGGGTTTGTCCCTTGGTTTGTGGTGTGGGTGGATGCTAGCAGGATTTGTGATCTGCTGAGCGTATGGTTGAATAGGCAGGACTGAAGTTCCAGTATATTGGGGCCTTCCTCTGTGCACAGGAATCATTTGGCAGTGCTCTGCACCGTTCTTCAGCCCAGCAGGAGCAGATGGGCGTCATGCAGGGCCCATGGGCACCTTGTGTAGTGGCTTCACACCCGTGCGGTCTTGGCCACGGGGGCACAAGCATGGCCTCAGCCTGCTCCCACCCTCTCCCTCTTTCCCTGACAGATCCACTCGGACTCAGATGAGGGGGACGGCTCCATCAAGTACACTATCTCCGGGGAGGGCGCAGGGACTATCTTCCTCATCGACGAGATCACAGGTGACATCCATGCCACCGAGCGCCTGGACCGGGAGCAGAAAACCTTCTACACACTGCGGGCTCAGGCCCGTGACCGGCAGACGGACCGGCTGCTGGAGCCTGAGTCAGAGTTCATCATCAAGGTGCAAGACATCAACGACAGCGAGCCACGTTTCCTGGAGGGGCCCTACATCGGCAGCGTGGCTGAGCTGTCCCCCATTGGTAGGTCTCCCGGGTGGAATGAGGTGGGTTGGGAAACCTGCGCCTCTCTCCTGTCAAATCTGGAGCCTGCTCTACCCTGCAAACCTGCCTGCAAATCCCAGGGATTCCAGCTGAGACCAGAGCTAGGGAGCCAAAAACGAAAAATAAATAAGGTGGCTTAAGGAAAACAAGTGAATAAATCCTCTGAGCTGATTGCCAGCCTGTGGCTGAGCGCTTGGTCTCAGCCCTAAGCTGTGCCCTCGAGACAGACTGTGGCAGTGCCAGCTGCCCACTGTGCATTTACCCTGGTTTTGCACAGCTCCCTTGCTCCCAAATGCGGGGGGGAGTGTGGGAGGGGGTCGGACTGAGCCCTTGCGTGCTGGGGGGCTCATGGCTGCCTGGGGTTCAGGTTAGCCTCAGCGATGTTTCTTCCTCTCCAGCTGCCTGTGCCCCGGTCCCTCCTGAGGGCATCCTCAGTGTGCTGCTTTCCTGAGCCCCGTGGCTGCCCAGCCACCCCCTTGTGCATCTCCATACAGCACTGCTGACCCCGCTCGCATGGCTTCCTGCCTTCCTCTGAGGGGCCAGCCACTGTTGGGGCTGAAATTGGGGAATTTGTGTCCCTTGTGACAGAAATGTGGCTTCCCTGTGTTGCTGTTAGCCTGCCTATCCCCCTGCTATCAGGCATCTTTTAAGTCCATTGGTGATCAGCCGTGCTGAGGACCAGGCTGGGATGTGTGCTGTGAGTCTAGCCCCCCCAGGGCTGGCAGAGCAGTGTGGTGAGCTTTGTGCTCACCTCAGCTTCAGGAGGGTCCCAGTGAGGTGATGCATGAGCTGCAGTATTGCTGCCCTAGCTCCCTGTGCTGGCCCAAGGGCAGGCTCCCATGCTGCTGAGCACAGCTTGAGCCTAGGGAGAGCAGCTGCTTTACTGCACCGTTCCCCATCCACGTTGGGCTATCTGTTATCCCCCATTGACTAGCCAGAGCGCGTAGCAGACTGCGCGTGCTGGCATGCGCTGCGGGCAGGGGGAACTATAAATCACTGTTCTCCAAAGGCTGCACAGAGGTAGAAGACAGCCTGCAAAAGACTGACTGACATCGAAGATAAGGCAGGTCCCCAACACTGACAGCAAGGGATGAGTCAGCAAGGGGGAGAGTGACACTGCCAGGAAAGCAGCGAGCACCGGGGGGGTGCAGGCAGGGGGGGCAGGGCTGAGGCACGCAAGGGGCTCTCAGTAGGTCAGGCCAACTGCCAGGTCCTGCTGTGCTTGTGCATGAGGGTCTGGCTGAAGAGGCACCCTGAAAGCAGAGGGCAGGGGATGGTGCCGGGGTCTGTGCTGCCTCAGGACAGAGCTCTGGCTCTCCATGGTTCTTGCGCAGCATATTGTGAGAACTGGTGCATGACCTCCAGCAGGCATAGAGGTGCAGGAATTGCCCACACCAGAGGAGATGCTTCTGCCTGTTGATGGATGGAGAACAAACTCTCCTGAGGCATCCCAAATTCTCCTTCCTCTTCTATTTACCTGCATAAATCTTTCCTGAGTCAGAGGGTGACCCCTTGAACTGCAGCCATGTGCTCCTGGAGAAATGAAAGACGGCATGTGGGCAGCAAAGCAGGAGGCATCCTGTTCCCAAAGGGAAGAAAGAAATTAAATTAATCTATTTTGCTTGAACAACATGTTAAAAGAAAGGAATTCTCGACTTAGAGTATTAGACAAGGATCCCAGTTCTTTGAAAATCGCTAACAATTACGGAGCTGCCTGATCAGACTGATGTGAACAAGACATATCAAAGGAGACAGTTTCTATGCGAAATTGGAGATCAGAGGGAGAAAGAAACACTGTTTCACAACATGAAAGGAGGCGATTCCTGCAAATTAAAATACTCAGAAGTTAAAAGTAAAAAGTGCTGTGAACGGCGTGGGCTGTGTTTCCAAGCTGCCTGCTCAGAGAGGGGAGCTGGAGCCAAGAGCCTGTCCTGCTTACCAGGCTGATGTCTGTCTGCCTGAGACAACCTTGGAGCTTTCTGTAGCCTGGCCATCCCAGGGAGCACAGGGGCTCCTCTGCAGCAGCCTAGCCCTGGAGACGGCTCGGCTAACAGGGCAGGGAGAGCTTCACACAGCATCTTCAGGTGGTGCTGCCATGTGGTCCCCTGCGGTATGAATGCAGAGCTGGAGGGGTACCCACATGCTGCTGCCCCAAGTCCCCAGCTCCCTCCCAGTTCTCCCTTGACTTACCAGCGCTTTGCCCAGGAACAGGTAGCGCAAAGGAGAGGATGGACAGGTCCTGTGAAAGCATCAACAAGCAATCACAACAAGTAGCTTTCTCCTCAGCCTGCTGGAGTTCAGCAGCTGCCCTGCTACTCCACTGTGGCCCTGGTATGGACACAGAGAGAGATGGTGTGTGCAGTTCCACTCTAGATGCTGTAGGAAGAGCTGAGGATGGAGAACATAGGGTGCTGCCTGGGCCAAGGAGATAAAGTTCAGGACTTTCTTATGGGAAATACTCTGCCAGGCCCTATTTTTGTGGGAGTGCTCTTTCTGTGACATCAAGGCCAGGTGCAGTTGTGATCATGGCTTTTTTTTTTTTTTTTTTCTAGTTGGTATTGGTGGTGATGTTTGCGGTCTCTGAGCTGGACAGATAATCTCACCTAGACCTGGGGGGAGGTATTTTCATATGAATGATTGAGGACTGTGCCTTGCTGCCTTCCTGAATGTGGATGGAGGTGATTCTCTGTACTGGCCAAGCAGCGGTAGGAAGGCTGGGCAGTTTGTGAAAAGCTTAGATTGGTTAGGTTATTAATACATCAAGATCAAGGTCAAAGCCTGGGGACCTGCTGGCAGACATGCCTAGTCTAGGTTCCATTTGGGTGCAGATGTTTTCCTGGATCACCAGTGTTTATGGTTCAGTTGTGCTCTCTGCTGGGGAAAGAGCTGTGATGGGGCCACCCCAGGGTGCAGGGCTACCCCTCTACCTTGGAGCTTGTTTGTAGGGAGCTGTTCATGTCCTGTCTGCTGCTCTGACAGCCTTTGCTCTGTGGCCCAGCCTAAAAAGTGAAAGGTAACCCCGCTTCTTCCTTTCATTCTCCTGCCTTCCCAGACCTTGCTGGAGTTTGTGCTTGGGGCTGCCCAAGTGGGTGTTTTTTCTTCTCGCTCATGGCAGCTATCAGCCACAGCTCTCCAATCCCTGCCAAAAGTATAGTCCCAGCTCCCAGAGGTGGGTACCTTCCTGGGGCGTAAAGAGGAATAAAACAAATACGGTCAGATCCGTTCTGTGACAGCAGGAGCAGATCAAAGGACATTATTTGCATAATGAAGGAGTACTAATTGGGAGGGAAAGTCATTTGATTTCCTAGTGTTTAAGAGGGAATAACAAATGAGAACTGCACAAACTCTCACAGAGTAGCTGGGAGTGCTTTGCAACACGCCTGCACCTTGCTCTGTGCTGCGGCCAGAGCAGGACACTTGCATAGTGACAACATACATTCTGCTTGAGATTATAAGACTAAGTCAGGGTAGACTAAAGGCCTCTTTGTCCCAGGATCTTGTCTTGACAGTGGCCGACGTGGATGCTTATGAAGGAGGAAGAACAGCACACGTAGTATGTGTGATGCTCCTCTTAATACTCTCCCAGCCAGCAGCCAGTTTCAGCTTGGGGATTTCTTCAGCTGTGGGTGGTTTCCCTGGGTTTAGTCAACTTTAGTGTCTGTCTTCCACTAACTCATCCAGGCTCACTGTAAACCTGGGCAGAGGGAAAGGAAAAGGGGTTGCTACTGCAGTCTGATGGATTGAAAATGGCAGATGCAAGGTGGTCAGGAGGGTAAGGCCAGAGTCTGGGATCTGTAAGAGGCAGAGGTGGTGCTTGGAGCGAACCCCAGCCCACGGAGCCAGGCTGAGCATGTGTTGTGCCCCTGGAGAAATCTGTTTTCTACACCCAGAGCACAGACCTGAGGCTGGCACTGGGCTCCTGCGCTTGGAGGAAGCACATCCAGAATGGAAGCTGACCCAAGAGTCTTACCTGGGCTCCCTTGGCATGGCCGGACCAGCTGCAAGAGCAGGTTTCAGATAACTTTTCTCTAGAAACCTCATCTGGTCTGGGGCTGCTGGAGGCATCAGGAGAAATAGCACAGCTGCTGAGGGCTGTTTTGCAGACAGCGGGGCACAGAGCCATCGAATGCTGCTGTCGGGGTGCAGAGGCATCAGGTTCGTCCTGCTGCTGGGGGGGTGGCAGGGAAGGCAGCTGGAGCTGCAGCAGGACAGAGGGCTGCCCCTGCTCAGCCCCCCAGAGCGAGCAGGGCCTTGTCCTGTTCAGGGCTGGCAGCAGCCACTGGAGGTAATGCCCTGGGCCCACCTGGGATGAGGACGGCAGGGGCTGGTGGTGCTGCCTAGGAGCATTTTTACCGACTCCCCCTGTGCCCGCTGCCGGATCAGGACAGCTACCAGCAATGAGTGCATGCGAGTTAGCCAAGGAGCAGTCTGTCTGCAGGATGGGGCTTGAGCTGCAAACCTTGCTGCAGCCCCACTGCTGTCCTATCACCTTAAGAAGAAACTGTTGGCTAAGAGCTTACAGGCTGCTCTGTGCCGGCACCTGAAATTCAGCTTCTGCATGGGTACCCCAGTGCAGATGACTCCAAAATGCCAGAGTTGAGCCGAGTCTAATACCAAAGGAAGAGGCCTGCAGCTGCAGAAGGTAAAACGGGACCCAGCCAGCTGCCTTGAGAACTGCAGGATCTTCACCTTGTAACAGGAGATGCTAAAATTAGCTGTATTGTGGGCTGCCTTCCTAAGCTCCCTGGGGTCTCCTTAACAGCTGTCTGCCGCACACAGGCATGAGCCCAAATCCAGCACACAGTGGCACCTGCAAGACAACTCTGGTTGCACAGAGTGGGTGTTGCAGCCCAGAGCTCACTTCTGGGCTGTTTCGGGAGCATGCAGAGCCTGGAGTGAGACACATGCTAGGCAATGTGCATCCTTTCATCAGGACATCACTCTTCCCTTGGTGCATTTTGCTCTCCTTATTTCTCTGG